ATGGAAGAAGCTCTCGCAAATCAACAAACTGCTTGCTATTCAGTTGCTCGAGCTCTCGACAATTTTAAGAAGATCGGTCGGTCAAATCTGACGGCCGCCAAAATTCGCTCGCGAATGACGAGCTTACAAGACACGTGGACACAATGTGTACGCAATCACGCGACACTGCTGCAGCTTGTTCCTGACGAGAAGCAAGTTTCAATTCACTACTTCAAAAAGGAGACCTTCGCCTTCCACGAGGACCTCTATCAGGCAGCTATGGACTACATGAACGAGTGCTTGGAGGAGCTGGTTCCAGTCGTAAGTCGTGAAACCTCTTTCAACGCTTCGTTCGCGCATACAGACTCTGCGTCATTATCGGTCAAACATCTTCCTCCCATCAAATTGCCGCCGTTCACCGGTAAGATTGAGGAGTGGGAGACTTTTCGCGATCGGTTTCAATCGCTTATTATAGACAATCGCGAATTATCGAACTTCAGTCGCATGCATTTTTTAGTGTCAAGTTTAACAGGCTCAGCTCGCGATGCGATATCAGGTATTAAAGTCACCGCGGATAACTTCTCGGTTGCGTGGAAAGCATTAACAGCGCGTTTTGAAAATAAGCGCCGATTATTGAGACTCACATTTCGAATTTGTATAATCTTCCGAAAATGACTCGTGAGTCAGCTGTCGAGCTTCACGCCTTACGCGATAAAGCCGAACAAGCGATCTCAACATTGCAACGTCTTAATCGTTCGCCGGACGATATAGTCAGCGACATGTTAGTTTATTTTCTCTCTCAGAAGTTCGATCCCGCCACGCGCCGTGCGTGGAAGTTTAAAACGAGCGATATCGAAAATCCGCCAACATACAAAGAAGTATTAAAATTTATTTCGTCGCGTGCTCTCGCGTTAGAGGAACCCTCGCGATAACGACAAGACCAAGTCACATGCGAAAGTGACTAGCGCAACAGCGACTGCGTCATCTAATATAGTGTGTTCAATGTGCAAGCAATCGCACATTCTCTCAAAATGTCCGCAATTTGTAGCAAAGAGTCCGATTCAGCGACGCGAATTGGTTAAGAAATTTCGACGATGTTTTAATTGTTTGAGTGATAACACATGTCGATCAATTGTCAAAGTAATTTCACATGTCGAACATGTAATAAACGACATCATTCTATGATTCATCTCGATTCGGACTCATTGCAACAAGTTACAAATGCGAACAATACGTCAAACGCGAATGACGTCATCGACAACGGCCTAACGTTACGGCACTCTCATCAGTTACAATGACAACTGCGCCGACTCCTGTTGTCTTATCTACTGCAAAGGTGAATTTGCAGGCGCCTTCTGGACTCTCATTGGTGTCAAAGCCTTGATTGACGGTGGATCAGAGCTCACGTTTGTGACGGAGCGCGTTGCTCAAATTACGTCTCAAGCGTATACGAACGCGTACTTCAACGTCGGGAAA